CCTCCTGCTCTGATATAACGCCCTCCCCGCGCCGAGGCCCGGCCTTCGTTCTCTGCCCGCCACGGCAGCCGCTGCCTCTGCTCCGGCGCCGCTGCCCTACCCCAAACAAGGGTGTGACAGCCCCCCGCCAGGGCTGCGCCGCAGTGGGCACCTCGCCCCCGTCCTCCGAATCACTTCCCCCAACTGGGGCAACTTCTCCCGAGGCGGGAGGCGCTTCTTACTCGGCTCCTTTTCTACCCACTTGGGCAAACTTCTTGGCCCTGAATGACTTTTCCTGAAGCGGACATTTTACTTAAATCGGGTAACTGTCTCCGAAAGGGTGACTTCGCCTGAACAGTTTTCTCTTGGAAGTCCCCAGCACCCAGGCCGAGTGCCCCGCAGTGTCTGGGCCTGAGGCGCGCAGGCCAGCCTGGCCTCCTCTCCATCCGCAGCCGTTCTCCTCCTGCGCCCTCTTCTTCTTCTGGCTGACTGGCCTAGGCCGCCACTCCCGGAGGCCCCCGATCCTCCTGCACCAGTGCCCAGGCCCTGGCTCTCCATGATGCCCCTGCTCAGCTGAGGGGAAGGGAAAGTGCAGGGGAGAAGTGCTGGGCTGGGTGCAGGCGGCCGGGGCGCTGCGCGGCTCTTACCCGGCTGGTGTGTGTCCCCGCAGGAGAGTGTGCTGGGCAGACGATGCTGGACACGATGGAGGCGCCCGGCCACTCGAGGCAGCTGCTGCTGCAGCTCAACAACCAGCGCACCAAGGGCTTCTTGTGCGACGTGATCATCGTGGTGCAAAACGCCCTCTTCCGCGCGCACAAGAACGTGCTGGCGGCCAGCAGTGCCTACCTCAAGTCCCTGGTGGTGCATGACAACCTGCTCAACCTGGACCATGACATGGTGAGCCCGGCCGTGTTCCGCCTGGTGCTGGACTTCATCTACACCGGCCGTCTGGCTGACGGTGCAGAGGCAGCTGCAGCGGCGGCCGTGGCCCCAGGGGCCGAGCCGAGCCTGGGTGCGGTGCTGGCCGCAGCCAGCTACCTGCAGATCCCTGACCTCGTGGCGCTGTGCAAGAAGCGCCTCAAGCGCCACGGCAAGTACTGTCACCTGAGGGGAGGTGGCAGCGGTGGCGGCGGTTATGCGCCCTACGGGAGGCCGGGCCGTGGCCTGAGGGCCGCCACGCCCGTCATTCAGACCTGCTACTCGTCTCCAGCCGGGCCCCCGCCACCGCCCACCTCCGAGCCGCCGTCGGGCCCCGAGGCCTCGGTCAACACGCACTGTGCAGAGCTGTACGCCTCGGGGCCCGGCCCCGCCGCCGCGCTGTGCGCCCCAGAGCGCCGCTGCTCTCCGCTCTGCGGCCTGGACCTATCCAAGAAGAGCCCGCCCGGCTCTGCGGTTCCCGAGCGGCCCCTGAGTGAGCGCGACCTGCCCCCGCGGCCCGACAGCCCTCCCAGCGCGGGCCCCGCCGCCTACAAGGAGCCCCCGCTCGCCCTGCCGCCGCTGCCGCCGCTGCCCTTCCAAAAGCTGGAGGAGGCCGCGCCCCCGCCGGACCCGTTTCGCGGCAGCGGCGGCAGCCCGGGACCCGAGCCCCCCGGCCGCCCCGACGGGCCCAGCCTCCTCTACCGCTGGATGAAGCACGAGCCGGGGCTGAGCAGCTACGGGGACGAGCTGAGCCGGGAGCGCGGCTCCCCCGGCGAGCGCTGCGAGGAGCGCGGGGGAGACCCGGCCGTCTCGCCTGGGGGGCCCCCGCTGGGCCTGGGGCCGCCGCCGCGCTACCCCGGCAGCCTGGACGGGCCCGGCGCGGGCGGCGACGGCGACGACTACAAGAGCAGCAGCGAGGAGACGGGCAGCAGCGAGGACCCCAGCCCTCCCGGCGGCCACCTGGAGGGCTACCCCTGCCCGCACCTGGCTTACGGCGAGCCGGAGAGCTTCGGGGACAACTTATACGTGTGCATCCCGTGCGGCAAGGGCTTCCCCAGCTCCGAGCAGCTGAACGCGCACGTGGAGGCTCACGTAGAGGAGGAGGAGGCGCTGTACGGCAGGGCCGAGGCGGCTGAGGTGGCGGCCGGGCCCCCTTTTGGGAGCGGTGCGGACAAGGTCGCTGGGGCTCCGGGCAGCCTAGGAGAGCTGCTGCGGCCATACCGCTGCGCGTCCTGCGACAAGAGCTACAAGGACCCGGCCACGCTGCGGCAGCACGAGAAGACGCACTGGCTGACCCGGCCTTATCCATGCACCATATGCGGGAAGAAGTTCACGCAACGCGGGACCATGACGCGCCACATGCGCAGCCACCTGGGCCTCAAGCCCTTTGCGTGCGACGCGTGCGGCATGCGCTTCACGCGCCAGTACCGCCTCACGGAGCACATGCGCATCCACTCGGGCGAGAAGCCCTACGAGTGCCAAGTGTGCGGCGGCAAGTTCGCACAGCAACGCAACCTCATCAGCCACATGAAGATGCACGCCGTGGGCGGCGCGGCCGGCGCGGCCGGGGCGCTGGCAGGTCTAGGGGGCCTACCCGGCGTCCCCGGCCCCGACGGCAAAGGCAAGCTTGACTTCCCCGAGGGCGTCTTTGCTGTGGCCCGCCTCACGGCGGAACAGCTGAGCCTGAAGCAGCAGGACAAGGCGGCTGCGGCCGAGCTGCTGGCGCAGACCACGCACTTCCTGCACGACCCCAAGGTGGCGCTCGAGAGCCTCTACCCGCTGGCCAAGTTCACGGCGGAGCTGGGCCTCAGCCCAGACAAGGCGGCGGAGGTGCTGAGCCAGGGCGCTCACCTGGCCGCGGGTCCCGACGGCCGGACCATCGACCGTTTCTCTCCCACCTAGAGCACCTCTCGCCGGCCCTCCTTGCCGCCGCCCCGCGCGCGGCCCGGCCC